TTCTTAGTGCAATTTTTTGCTTTTTGAATAAAAAAACCGATTCTTCGCACTTTTCAATATAAAAAAAGCTCTCTTGTGAATTTTCGTTATAGTTAGCCGTTTTTGAGATATTTCGATTTTGAAGGTTCGATGCATTTTTAATTATTTATGGGAAAATAATATTTTTTTACATTTTCGATTTGGGCATTACAAGTAATTAAGATGATCGTTTAGATTGTGTTTTTAAACACAGCAATAATTCTTAACTCCAAATAAACACAAAAAAACAGAATATTAATTTGTTTAATTTTCCAATATTATTTTTAACAAATTAAATTAATTATTTACAACTAAAATGCTATTGGATAGTTAGGACAAACATACGAAATCTAAAGTAGTTGCTCGAAATGTAAACCCAATTGTTCAATACACAATTCACATCTACGAATGATCGAACGTGGTATAGCATTATTCAAATAAGGCCTTATTTCATCACATGCATTCCTGATTCTGTCTATTAACATATCTCTTGTGGTTACGGGAGTCTTGTAAACTGTTTATTTTAGAAATCCCCACACAAAGAAATCTAATGGATTTAGGTCAGGGGATCGTGGAGGCCAGTCGACTGGTCCTCCACGGCCGATCCATCTTTCTGGATAATTTTCGTCCAGCCAGTTTCTAACTTTTCTCGAATAATGAGCTGGACAACCATCAAGCTGGAACCAGGCCAATCTTCTTAAATCTAACATAACATCATCCCACATATTTGCATGTTCAGCCTTTAAAAATTCCAAGAAGGTCGCAGCATTTAACCTTGCAGGCAAAAGGTAGGGTCCAAATAGTCGATTACGGTAGATACCAATCCACACGTTCACACAAAATTCATGCTGAAAATTTCTTTCCCGAACTGCATGCGGATTTTCATGCGACCAAATATGTTGATTTTTATAAAACTTACAAAAAAAAAACAGGTAAAAGAAACTAAATTTCGTGCACACAATTGCAAAAAAACGTTTCAGGTTTCAACAGACAACCAAACTAACTGTCAACTAATTGACGTTTAACCTTATTCTGCTTTCAATTTCAAAAATATTTGCAGGCACAGCCTACTTCTAAAAATTATCGAGATACTGACTTTTTAACATTATTTTATCATAAATAATTAAAAATGCATGGAACCTTAAAAATCGAAATATCTCAAAAACGGCTAACTATAACGAAAACTCACAGGAGAGCTTTTTTATGTTGAAAAGTGCGAAGAATCAGTTTTTTTATTCAGAAAGCAAAAAATTGCACTAAGAAAAAATTTTCGGTCATTTTGATCCACTACAGGTACAGTAGAGAGCGCCATCTAGCGGCTACAGTAAAACTATGCCCATGGTTCGTTTTGTCGTACCAAAAAACCCTTGTATACCAATTTTCACTGTTATACATCAAATATTGTTCGAAATATTTAAAAAAAAAAACTATTTTAGAAAGTAAATCTAAACACCCTGTATTTCGGAAGCCACGCATTTTTCGACCCATGTATATATAGACTTTATGCATTAATTTTAAAAGTTCTATCGAATCTTAAAGTTATGCTACAATAAACTGAAACACCCTGTATAATCCACATTAATTTTTCCAAGATATTGCGAGTGTACCTTTCAAAACAAGTGTGGATTCGAGTCTCTCCAATATCGACAATTATGTCTATTTAGAACACCATTTAAGTAGAACGTACTTTTATCCGAGAAACAAATATTAAATAACAGATTTGCATTGTTGATTAAACGTTGGGACATTAATTCGTAAAACTCCAACCTTGTATCAAAATCGTCTTCAATGGTCAAGTTTTATCGTGTACAGGTGAAATTTATTGTCTGTCAAAATTATTTGCACTGTTGAGCGTGTAAACAATGAAGTAGCCAGTCCACGAGTGCTTTGGGTGTTGTCAAGTGCTACGTGTCTCAAAACTGCTATTTCTGCGGCTTCATTTCTAACTGGTGGATCTTCTCGATGGTGATTACAGCGAATATTAGACACAGATCCAGTTTCTTCAAATGGCTGAACTATACTTTAGCGCATATCGCAAATATTTCATATATTATTTTAAAATGAAACATTAGGATGTAACTTGCATTTTTTCTTTAAGGAACCCTCTGCTTGCTATTTTATAGAACTTCGAAGTTGCATTTGTGGTGGTAATATTCTAGAATAGAATACTGTTTTATACTAAGTGACATATAAATCCGAACACCCAGTTTAAATGGTTTTATTTTAATAAAAGGTGGTGAATGTATTTATCTTACTGTAAATAACAAGTGAAAAAATTTTCAGCCTTATCAGTTGGACATTCCGGTTTTTATACTGCTTTTTTTTTAAATCACTAACGCTCTAAAAATGAATATTTCAGCCGCAGTAAAGAATCAATGTTGGCGGATTTTGGTTCTTGACATCCTTTACGATCGGTTACGATGCCTAGAGTACGGAGACTTCGTCAACTTAGTGAGTTTGATAGTGGGACTTCGGGAAGCTGGACTTTCTTTTCGGGCAATTGCAGTTAGAGTGCAAAGAAGTGCAGACACTGTGGTTAGGTGTTATCAGGCATGGCTTCGAGAAGGCCGTACGCAAAGAGCAAGGGGCACTGGATGCCGCCGTAGAACAACAGACCGTGAAGATCGCCGTCTGAGATTATTGGCCTTAAGGGACCGTTTCTCCACTACCAGGTCCATTGCAAATGAATGGTTTGCAGAACACGGAAGACCTATTGGCATGCGAAGTGTTTACCGACGAATGAGAAGTTTTGGCTTGTTTTCATACCGGCCACACTGGGTCCTCCCTTTAACTCGAGAACACCGACGTAATCGCCTTGAGTGGTGCAGACAACGGTCACTCTGGGATCAGGAATGGAACAGTATTGTCTTTAGTGACGAGTCTCGATTTTGTTTAGGCATGCACGATGGTCGTGCCAGGGTTAGAAGGCGACGTGGTGAAAGGAGGAATCCACAGTTTTTTGTTGAAAGACATGTTCATCACACTGTTGGAGTTATGGTTTGGGGTGCTATAGCTTATGGTTCCAGATCACCTTTAATCTTCATCAGAGGTAACATGAACGCGCAGCGTTATATCCACGAAGTTCTAGAACCCCATCTTTTACCCTATCTTGACACCCTGGCAGATCCAACTTTCCAACAAGATAATGCCCGACCACATGTTGCAAGAGTCACAATAGACTTCTTTCCACATAATGATGTCACATTGTTACCATGGCCAGCAAGATCTCCTGACTTATCCCCAATTGAGCACGTGTGGGATATGATAGGTAGGAGATTGCTCAATTTGCAACGTCCTACTCAGACTCTAGAAGCACTTCGAGAGGAGTTGGAGGTTGCCTGGCATGAGATACCACAGGAGGACATTGACCACCTGATCAGAAGCATGCCTAGGCGCGTTGGAGAATGCGTAGCACATCAGGGTGCATCCACACATTACTAAAGGTCAAAGGGCTTTAAAGCAGTGCAATCATTTTGAAATTTTTATCATTTACTTATTATGCTTCATTAAGTACTTACTTATACAAAATTTTATTAAAATAAAACCACTTAAACTGGGTGTTCGGATTTATATGTCACTTAGTATATATGCTGTCTTTTTTTGCTTTTTGTACAAAAGGATGTTCTAAATTATAAGAATACAACATACATTGTATAGTACTAAGAAAAAATAGATGTAAAACTGTAAAAAATCGCTGTTTCTTGCAAAAAAAAGGTCCAAAACCAGACGTGTTATTACACATTAGCTTATTAGCTTATAACAGATCAGAATACATGCGTAAATGATAGTATTTACTTGGTAAATTGTGTAGAGGTGTTGTTTTGTGATTTTTCAATGCCTTCTTAAAATTCCTTAACCATTTTTTTTGGCGTATTTTCAATGAGATCAAAGTGTTTGCGTTTATAAGAAAAGTTACATCCTAATCTTTCATTTTAAAGTAAGAAATGAAGTATTTGCGACATACGCTAAAGTATAGTCTTACCCTTCAAATGTTCTTATCAAATTACCCACATACTCATCGCTAATATTTTTGTCTGGGTGTAACGCATTAAACAACCGGGCAGTAGCTTTTGCAATGCTCCCATTTTGTTAATACAGTTTTATTATTTCTGCCTTCTTGAATTGAATAAGTTATTGTTCAATAACTATCACAACCATACCTAACAATTTGAAATGAAAGACAAAGTTTTTCTATGGCAAACGATAACACTGACTGATGCTAAATCTTCTTGCTGGTATCCATGATTATTATTTTTGCCGTGCATGCCATTATTATCAGTACCTATTAAGTTAGTCGAATTTTATTGTAAACTCAAATAGCTTCACAACGATTGGAATAAACTTTATCATACAAAAGTTACTAAAAACCTTTTGTCCTGACGCATGCAAGCGTTTTTTCCAAAATATACCAGGAGAGTCACAAATGGGGGTGCGACCTTTTTGTTGGGCCACAGTGTATATTTTGAGTCTGAAAATCTAATTAGTCTCCTCTTACTTGACTTTCATTGAATTGATTAACTGAAGCTAACTGAGTTCGACGTTTCCGAAACTATTCATTCTCTCGTTTACCACGTTCTCTTGGATTACTTGAAGAACAGAAGAAGCAACGTCCTGCGCCAAGTGTCAATGAAGCTATGATTCTATTGCTTTATGTCAAGTTATACACGAGTCTACCTCCTATAGGTAGACAAGTAAAAGGTAACAGAATTTGAAATTATAGTAGTCTCGGATCAGTTCATGAATTGAATGATTGGACTGGCGAACCGGACTTATTAAGTCAAGGCACGATGTTGAGAGGTCCAGAAGTCTCAGACGAAGCATCTGTTACACTCCATTCCCGATAAAAAACAGTCCAAAGGTGGCATAGTTACCGGGCTTCACCTGTCCTTCTGCTCCAAAACTGATACTCGTTACTACCACGTCAAGGACAAACACTTTTATAAATGTTGGTATCTAGACCCATGTTTTCAGCAGTGTATAAAATTGAATCTCGTCCATCCGAAATCCTTATCCTTATCTGTGACCCGCTGACACCGCGAAGCGAATCCGATACTACACAAACCCGAAATCTATTTACAAATACGGTCGGGTCCAACATACGCAATGTCAGCATGTCTACCGGAAGTGGTGCAAAAAAGCCTGGAGAGGATAGTCGGGAATGGAGAAATCCGACTTATGAAAAAGTCCAATAGCGAGATCGGGTGCTCGTGTAACGTGGTAGCGGAAGGAGATGAAAACGAGGAACTTGCCAGTTTGTACGTGAAGTATCTGGATTTCGGGCTCAAGTTTAGTGATGAAAGTCTCGTGTATTTCAACAACGAGACGATTTTTTACGGGGAGATCGTGCCGTTGTTCGAGAAGGTGGTGGAAAATTTAACAGGTAAATGCTCGATAGAAACTTCTAGTGGAGATATCAATAGATTTTCTTTTGCATGCTATCGAAAGTAGGCTCACCAAGCTTCAAATCAAATAGAAAGTTGTAAACTGTGACTCTTTCCTTTATGCATAAGAATTTAGTCAAGGTTGGGAAGCCATTTAAATGAGTTAGAGGATATAACGTTGCCATGTGTTGCATATACAAAGGCTGAATATAATTTCTTTGCTTTCCGTGTTTGTGACCACAACCAACCGCATACAACGTTATTTCATGCGTTTGAGCAAAATATGGTATAGTCTAGTCATTAGTAACAGGCAACGAAAAACAAACAAACAACAAACAGTGTAGGGGTCGGTAGTGCCGCGTTTGACCCAAAGGTGGCAATATCACCTCATCACACACTACAATTGGAATTTTCAATAGTCCTATTTTGGTTTGTTTGCTTTCCGTGATCTATCTACACTGACTAGACCTATACGGTAGCGACGATTGCTAAAAATCACGGTTAGTTATTGACAAAAGACGGAACGAAAAACATCCTATTCAGCATTTTAAAAAATCTCATTAACAAGTTTAAATTAAAATACGAGGCACTGGCACTGAGATGTATTGACAGAAGCATGGGTGACAAAAGTATATTACAAATTACATGTTATGGAACTATACTCGCACATTTTAAACCTTAACAAATGTTTACTTTTAAGCTTCTGAAAGTGCTTGCGGAAACAATATTACGACTGCCCAAATTACACATAAGTCAGAAATTTTTCACACTTCAAAAGTATAAGCGACCTTGTAAATTATATGGTCTCTATAATATATACGAGGGATGTCGTTTAAGTGTTGCATATGGAAATAAAACAACACGGTAGGTAGTTTTGAATAACTTTATTGTTTTTCGAAGTATTCTCCAGGAAGATTAATACACTTCTGCATGCGCTCGAACCAATTTTCGAAGCACTTATTCCACTCGTTTGCTGGCAGATCCAAAACGGCATTTTTGAATGCATCAACTGCTTCTTCTGGTGACTGGAACCTCTGACGACGCAGTCTGTTTTTAATTTTCGGGAAAGTAAAGAAATCGAGACTATATGGAGGATGATGGTCCAATAATTCCACGTTTTCTTCCGTTAAATACTGCCTTGTTTTTTGGGCTGTGTGCGAGCTTGCACTGTCTTGGTGGAGGATGATTCTTCTTTCGGAGTTGATTTTTCGAAGCTCGGTGATGACTTTTGGCAAACAACTAGTGGTATACCAATCCGAGGTAAAAGTTCTTTGCTCATTAAGAGGCATTGTTGCAATATGACCCGCTTTTGATACAAATGTCGCGATCATCTTTGTCGAAACACTTCGAGAACGGATGACTTTTGTTGGCTTTTCTTCACCTTGGAACACCCAAACAGCCGACTGTAGTTTATTTTCTGGTTCATAACAGTAAATCCACGATTCATCACCACTAACAATGCTGTACACATTTTTTGAGTTTCCGGAATTGAAGCGGTCAAGCGTTTTTTGACACCAATTAACCCTAGCTGCTTTCTGCTCTTCAGTCAACAGGTGGGGTAACCAACGAGAAACTAATTTTCTTACACCTAATTCTTCATGTAAAATTTTTTTGATTGAGGTCTTTGAGATCTTCAAGGACGCCTCAGTCTCGCGATATGTTACATGTGTATCTTCAATGATGAGTTTGCGCAGAGCATCGACGTTTTCCTGGGTGACTGCCGTTTTTGGTCTACCCACCCTGGGATCGTCGCTAAAACTCACCCGTCCACGTTTGAATTCTCCATACCAACGGGAAATTGTCGACTGATGTGGCGCTTCGCCGAAAACAGACAGTAACTCAGCAAGGCAAGGCGATAATTGTCTCTGAAAGTTGTAATAAATTATGGCGCGAAAATGTTCTAGGTTGAGTTCAATTTTTCTAATGACTTGGTGACACTTAAAAATTCACTGTAGTGAGAACGCTGCACGTATTGTTGTGAAACTTTGAATTTAAGATTCAGTACTGACGTTCGATCCGCGCGGCCTACTATGTTTCTATATGCAAAACTTAAAAGACATCCCTCGTAATACCTGTTCAATATTGTTTCAAAAAAAGCAGAAAATTTAGCTACACTAGGTATAGACACATGCACGTCTTCACAGATACAGACGTTAAACACCCAAAAATATTATATTTGCAAATTTCCTCCAGTGTACAAAAATTATGCTAAAAGATTTAGTAAAGTAAGCGTATAATAGTTTTTATTTTGTATTTTCTACCTCCTAATAAAAAAAAAATCCGAAATTAGATCATAGGGATTAATATGTGGAAAATTAGTATTCAGAAATTTCAAAAATTATAGCCACACCCAAAAAACATATTCTTATTCATTTTAAATTATTTTAAACCAAAATACGAGGTACTTGCTCTGTAGGAAGATGTATTGACAGAAGCATGGGTGACAAAAATATATTTCAAAATAAGTTTTATTGGAACTACATATACAGGGTGACTTCGAAGTTGAGTCATTTATTTTAACAGTGAGTAGATCTGATCAAAAGAAATGTTTTTTTCCTTTACAATTTTTCTGGTAAAATTAAAGTAACAAAGTTATAGCCCTTTGGAAGTTTGAGTACCGCCCTGTCTCAATAATAATATTATGTGCTCGTGTTTGGCGACAACGGATATAATCCCCTTATCGGTTCATCGCATCGGAAACAAAAAAGCGAAAGAATTTGGAACGATGTTTTTACAATAATTATTTTATTCATTTGTATACAGTCAGTGTCAGTTGGTAACGCGTGAGTGAATAGTGGTGTCTGTTGCGTGGCTCAAACGAAATAAAAAATGGCACATGTTTATGCGGATCGGTTTCCCAATCGAGTGCAACCAACCCCTCGTGCCTTTGTTAATGTAGTGCCGGTGCTCCAAGACCTCACGATCAAATACAGGTCCGCACTGAAATACTTGTCGGGAGGATACTTTATAAAACAAGGTAAATTTTTTTTTATTTTTTTTTTATTTTTACACACATATTTTGGTTTATCTTCCTTCTACAATCATTATCTGAAAATTAATGACTCAACTTCAAAGTCACCCCCCTGTATATCTTAAACCATAAATAATTACCACTTTTGAGCTTCTGTAGGTACTTGCGGAAACAATTTTATCGCAATCCAAATTACAATTAAGTGAGGAGTTACATTAATCGTCTTCACACTTCAAAGTATAAGATACTTCGTAAATTATGTGGTCTCTATAATAACACGTGTTCGATATTATGTCTCAAAACAGTCAAAACAAAAAATTTAGCTACTTTGCCACAAAAATCTAGAACATGAACATATTCACGGAAACAGACTTTAAACACCCCTATTTTGTGGTTAAAATTTACGGTAATGATGCTAAAAGATCTAGTAAAAGTTTTTCATGACTTATTTTCGACTTCGTGGAAGAGTGATAAAAAATAAAATTAGAAAGTAGATCATAGAGACAAATTTGGGGAAAATCCTAGCCACAGCAAAAAATATGTTCTTATTTATTGTAAATAATTTTACTACCTATATTTTCAGGCACTCAATCTGAATTAGCACTGGATTTCGTACCAAAATGCTCCGAAGTAGGGCACCTTACTGACAAAACAGAACCGTACATCATAATGGAGGACCTATTCAGCAAAGGGTATTCTCCATTCGAAGAAAAGGAATTGACTGTAGGAGAAGCTAGAATGGTAGTGGAGGAGCTTGGAAAGTTCCATGCATTTTCTTTTGCAGCTAGAGAGAGATATCCAGCGGAGTTTATCGAAATGACTGGGAGACTGACAGAAGTATTATTCAGGTAAGCTAAACAATTGAACGATTATACAGGGTGTTCATTTGAAAACTTACCACCACGGATTTATCAAAAACCACAGATTAAAAGATATATAGAACGGCCTGCTAGATCTCATGATTTGACGCCAATAGGGTTTATTCTATGGGGTCATTTGAAATCTATTATGTTTACTCCCCAACCTGAAAGTTTGAATGAACTTCGTCAACGCATGTCCGTCAGGAATTTGAACATCGCCTATATGATCGTTTGAGTGATGATATTTTCGTGTGTTTTTGTTTTCTATCTGAACAAATTAAGATTAATAAAGATTTTTCTAATTTTTCTCGAAAACGAATCGACTGATTGTAAAAAATCAAACGTCACAATATAGGACTTTGAAAGACCTTTCAAACACGGTATTGCTCGATATCCGTTGTCATTTGAAAATTTTAAGGGAATGAACTGAAAGGGGATGAAGTAGTTTTTGCTCAAAAAGTTGCCCCTCTTGGCAAATCTTTTGACGTGTTTCGGCGTTAATTCTTTTAATAAGTGCTTTTCGATAAATCCGTGGTGGGAAGCTTTCAAATTGACACCCTCTATAATCGTTCAGTTGCTTAGCTTGTTCACAAGCTAAGCTCGGTCAATGTTCTTTATATCCTTCGTCGGAAGTTTTATATGAAGCTGAAACTATGGAATCATCAATATTTGTAATGTAGTATTCTGAGAGATTCTGGCAAACCTTGCATGAATACTGCACAAAACTAGGTGCACTGCAATCTGCGAAAGAACGGGGGAGTTGTGGCTTTTGTCCGCAGCATTCTTTCCTTTGGAATCAGGCCGGAAGGACATTCTGTGGCTTCGCCTCAACTCCAAAACATCACCCAAATTTATCTGCCGCCTTTATCGCTCTCCCTCGGACCATAACTGGCATGACCTACTCGAATACCTCGCCTCTAACTGAACATCAATCAGCCAGCTTCAGAGGTAGTTCTTCTCGGTGATTTCAATGCCCATAATGAGCTTTGGTTGGGCTCAAACAAGACCGATGCAGCAGGTCGTGCAGTCGAAGCGTTCGCTCTTACTCAAGGGCTGACCCAGCTGGTGACGAGCCCTACTTCTTTTCCCCGCGTCTCGTCACACGCCAGTAGCCTGCTGGATCTCTTTCTGACTACGCATCCTGTCCCTTACAGCACTGCTGTCTTGTCCCCCCTGGGTAACTCAGACCACGGAGTTGTGGAGGTTAGGTTTCGGTCAGAACCCGCTGTGGCAGCAGAAACTCGTACAGGCCGCAAAACTTGACATTACGGACATGCCGACTGGGAGGGGCTCAGAGACTTCTTCTCTAGCTTTCCTTGGAGAGGTGTCTACTTCACTCACGCGGATGCGTCGGCTGTCTGTTCTTCGATAATCGAAATTATCCACGTCGGAATGGAGGAATACATCCCTCACACAGTGAAAGTGTCTACACCAGGGTCCAACGGCTGGTTTAACAAATCGTGTGAAGATCAAGGCACACAGAACCTTCTTAGAAAACCCCACTGTAGAGAACAGACAAGCCGACGTCGAGTCCAGAAACAGATATAACGAAGCGGTTCGCAATGTTAAAAACCAACACGATATAAAAGTTAGGCACAGGGTAATGTCGCAGCGCAATGGCAGTCGGTCTTTCTGGACGCTGGCCAAGCAGATTGAAAAGAACTTCTCACACAGTAGCCTTCCACCACTTACGTGTCAGGATGGAACTATTGCATTCAACTCAAAGGCCAAGGCGGAAGTGCTAGCCAAGATCTTTGCTGCCAACTTCACCATGGACGTCCCCCCCAACGCCCAAGTGCCGTAAATTCAAAGGGTTCCCTACACTATGCGGGAGGTAACATTCAGGCATATATCCAACCCATCCCAAAAAAGGGATCTAAGACCGACCCTTACAACTACAGGCCTATAGCTCTGCTTTCTGTTTTAAGTAAGGTGATGGAGAGGTGAATAAATCGCGAGCTTCTGGTCTACCTCGAACGTCACGGCTTGATTAGCGACAAGCAGTACGGTTTCCGGCACGAACGATCCACAGGGGACCTCCTAGTTTACGTCACTCAATTGTGGAACTCATCCAGTCTTATGGTGAGGCTCATATCGTTGCTCTTGACATCACGAAAGCGTTCGATCAGCTGTGGCACGCTGCCCTCTTAAGCAAACTTCCATCCTATGGCCGTCCAGAAAAGCTTTGCAGATGGGTGACTGACTTTATCTCTGGCCGCAAGATATCCGTTGTAATTGACGGGTTCTCCTCTTCATCCCCCAACGTCAACGCGGGTGTTCCCCAGGGATCGGTCTTGGCTCCGACACTGTTTCTCTTACATATCAACGACCTCCTTTCCTGCACGATCAACCCAATCCACAGCTTCGCTGAGTTGGAAAAAAGAAGACTAGCGACGACTTAGTCTCTGGCAAGAGACCTGGAGGCTATCACTGCTTGGGGACGTAACAATCTTGTACAGTTCAATGCTTCCAAAATACAGTACTGTACTTTGACGAACAAAAAGCGTCCTAGCGCTCATCCAGTTTCGATGGACGGCCGAGTTCTACCAAAGAGCCATTCATTTCGGCTGGTCGGAGTCCAGATCACCGAGGACCTGATCTGGCACGAACACATCTCGTCAATAGCTGCAGCTGCTGGGAAAAAGCTAGGCTATTTGTTTAGGGCTAAGAAGAACTTTTCTCCGGATGACCTTCTCACTCTATACAAGACCCAGATAAGGCATAGCCTCGAGTATTGCTCACACGTTTGGGGTGCTGCCGTCCCAACTACATTATCCATGCTCGATGCTGTCCAGAGGAGGGCGGTCCGACTGAGCGATGACTCTTCTCTAACAGACAGTCTCGGGACTCTTTCGCACCCGCGGGCTGTCGGCGATCTGGTTCTTATCTACCGTTACACCATTTCCTCAGAGCTCTCTTCCATGATACCGTCGCGCGATGTGCCTGCCAGACAGATCCGCCTGACTTTGGCGTCCCATCCTAACCGTGTCGACCTTCGTACATCCAGAACCGGCCGATACGACCGCTCCTTTGTCCCAAGGGTGTCGAGATTGTGGAACAATCTACAAGAGGAAGCTTTTCCCAGTTCTATTAACCTTAGGCAGTTCAAAAATCGTATTAATAAAATTTCTTTGGGATCATCATAGCAGCCGCGGTGTTCCAGAATTTAGGCTTCTGCCTGCGCGGCTGCTTCGATATAAAAAAACGACTAAATATAAACTAAATATTTACAAAATGTTTGTCTACTTTTGCTCGTTGAACAAAAAACCGACCATATTATATTGAAACAAAAAGAATGTATTCAAAGATAAACATTTCATTATCTTGAGGTAGTCATACATAAAAAACTTTAGTGTACAGTTTTGGGTTAGAGTAAATCTTTCTGGATTTTTATTTGTAATGTGGTTTCTTTCTCTACTTTTGCTCGGCACTGTAGATACTCCTATTCTATACTACAACTATTTAAAACTGTAATGACTCATACGCGTGATCAACACGTGATCAGAGCTCGATCCCGGCTTCCTTCCAGTACAGCCGTATAGCGTACGACATATGTCGTTTCTGTGGCTTTGCGGTGGTCAACAGCACAGACAGAGATGGAAATAATGGCTGATTGTTCTCCGCCGGTAGAACCAATGAAATCAAAGACGCGCCTCGACCGGCAGACTCATAGGCGTCGGCAACGCATTGGAACGTGTTTCGTTGAGCGATCGCATATTGTGTGTTTTTATAAGAATTGTTGTGTGATTGTTATTGTTGTGGTTTCTGTGGTTACTATTTTGGTTATACTTAACCATGGAGAGTACAAATGGCACGAGTGGAAGTACTGAAAGCCAGGGAACAAGTAAACGGCTTCGTAAAGCACTGAAGAGGGACGCGAAAGAAATCGTGCTCAACGTGTTCAATTATCTGAACAGAACTATGTCACAGGGAGATGCACTCGCGCATTGTGAAAGTATGACAGGCGTTCGAGAGTGGACCATTCGCAGGGTGGTGCATGAAAAGAAGAAAACTGGAGCTACTACTGATCCAAAGTTTAATTTGAAGGGACGAAAGGCCGTTAAATTGGATGACGATAGCAAAATGGCGTTAAGGCGAACCGTACATTCATTCTTCTTTAGGAATGAGATACCAACCCTCAAGGCTGTACATGCAGCGATCAAGGAAAATGAAATTATACCCCAAATGAGCGTCGAGGTAATGAGGAAATCCCTGCACGAAATTAATTTTCGTTACGAAACGCGTAATCGGAAGTCAGTATTGATAGAGAGACCTGAAATAGTCGCCTGGAGTCGAAAATACCTACGCGAAATGATTGAATATAGGCGACAAAGCAGAAAAATCTATTATTTGGACGAGACATGGGTAAATGCAGGTCACACAGTTAAAAAAACCTGGACAGACAAAAACGTAGTGAGTAACCGACAAGCAAGCATTGAAGGTTTGTCAACAGGTCTTTGTGGACCGTCAGGGAAAGGTCAAAGATTGATCGTAACTCATATTGGTAGCGATAGTGGCTTTTTAGAAGAGTGTGACTTGATTTTCGTCTCTAAGAAAGGAGGTGATTACCATGACGAAATGAATGCCAGCTGCTTCGAGAGCTGGTTTCAAGGGGTGCTTCAGCGAGTTGAGCCCAACTCTGTGATCGTCATGGATAATGCTTCCTACCATAGTCGTTGAGCCGAACGTGTACCGACTATGGGATCTCGAAAAAGTGTCATGCAGCAATGGTTGCGCGAAAAAGGAATCCCGTTTGACGATTCATGTGTGAAAGCGGAATTGTATGAAAAAATTAAACGGCACAAACCTGCGAACATTAGTTACGTGACTGATGAGATGGCCCGTCAATGTGGTGTCACTGTGCTGCGGTTACCGCCCTACCACTGTGAACTGAACCCAATAGAGCTCATCTGGGCTCAAGTGAAGGGTTATATTGCGCGCCATAACACAACCTTCAAATTACCAGACGTTAAGGTTTTACTTGAGACTTCCATACAGCTAGTAACGCCCGAAGCTTGGCAGAATGCTATCCGTCATGTTGTGAAGAAAGAAACAAAAATGTGGCAGCTTGACCACCACATCGACACCATCATAGAGCCAGTTATAGTCAATTTCAACGAGGAAAGCGTTAGCGACAGTTTATTACTGTCAGATGTAAGTGGAAGCGACGATGAATAAAGGTAATTCCCAAATTTTTGACTTACAATATGTTTCAAACCACTCTTTATTAAGCATGTGACAAATCTAGTTCACCCATGTTAAACATTCATACCCCGCCTATGAACAGCCGACTACTGGTAGTTAAGTGATGTTCACATGAACATCGATGAGTCATTACAGTTTTAGATAGTTATAGTATAGTAAGGAACTTTATTACGTTTATCTAACAATTTTTATGATTTATTTGTAGCAAAGAGACTCGATTTGCCTCCGGCAGATTTTTTATCCACGCCATCCACGACGCTTTAAAGCTAGCTAAGCAATCATTTCCCACAAACAGTGTTTACGTCGAAAAGCTCGCTTTGTATACACTCAACGTCTTTGACACGATGATTGAAATACTGGAGGGCAACGAAGATGATTATAACTTCAAGGTAATATATGAATCGTTTAAGTTTGACGCCTCAAGCTTTTTTATGCTTCAGAAATTCCTTTCATGAATTTTTCAAGTTTATTAGCATATTCAAGAAGCTTTAAGGGAAATACTCAAGCTTCATATTTGGATCAACATATCAGCATTTAACCTAGTTGTTACATAGTAGTAAGTTTTTAGTGATAATGTTTCTAAAATTATAGTTTTTCAATTCAATATTCTGGATGGCATCTTTAGGTAAGTCATACTGCGTTAAACAGTGCATCTCCTCATGTACAAAGTACATAACAGTTCTTAAAAATATCGAATTTTATTTTTATAACAAAACACATCTCTTGGTCAAATAATTCTATGGTAGAAAATCGTACTCTACTCTCCATCTCGTTAGGTCATTTTTTATAATTTCCTTCGACATAAATACGAGAGCTGGACGTGATTTGGTGCTGTTTTTTCCTGTGCTCTCGTGTAGCAGTTCAACCTCCAAAACCCGGAAAATCCCAGCACTGGGGGTAAAATTATTTCACTAAATCGGTTGAATGTCCTAAAAAATTACAAATTCACAAATATGACGTTTACATAACGGATAAAAAACGTTGACATATAGACAATAGCACAGAAATAACATCGAACTGAAAAACTGAATTAAAATATTCACTAACGGAATAAATGCAATATTTAGTCATGAACTTTTTTGAAGTTTGCTTAAATTGAACTGTGTTAAGTTGACGAATACTTTGTACATGATTATACAGATCTAACCGTGGGAAATTCTGTTTTGGTGTATAGAGTGAAAATTTGGGTGCCTTCACCAGATGGCCTAGTTTGGAAGTTGAGAGTTTGTGAAGTAGTTGCTTATATTTTTGTGTATATCTATTAAAGTCGCATATTTATTAACAATGTTGACATTATTTCAAGGTCTGCAAAGTGAGCTCTACAAGAGTCATGATATCCTAAATGGGTTACAGTTCTAATGGCTTTCTTCTAAATAAGGAATAATGTATTTATTTTAGTATAATTTCTCCATAATGTTATACCATAGCTAAGCTGTGAATGGAACAGTCAAAAGTAGCAACATTTTACTGTTTGTGAGTTTATCTGTTTTCAACTTCTGTAGAAAGAAAAGGGATTTCATGAATCCAACTTAATCAGTCATCTAAGATTATACCAATTAGAAGCATGGATAAGGTTATATTTTCAATCTTGTACGAGCCCCTTCCCACTTCAGTTGGCCCAACTATTGAAATCTTAGTTTTTTCTTATCAAACACAAATAATAAAAATGTAGCAGGGTGTTATAGGTTTAAAATATTAACAATGAATATTTTGATAATATATAGTAGAAAACACCAACTTTATCAGTCCCTAATCAAATTTGGAGCATAAAAATAACACATGTTGCAATGACAACATATCAACCTATTTTCATTTCAATGCAAAATAAGTCTATAACGCATAGGTGACTGTGAAAAATAAAAGCCATGAGAATTGTTTTTATTAATCACAGCTGTCAGAAAACGTTTAAAATAGTTTTGGGTAGTTAAGGTTTTCAAAATGGGTAGAGGAAAGGTTATTAGTGAGAAAATTCGGTTACTGATAATAAAATTTTTTAATTCTGGGAAATCAAACTCAGAAATTGCAACTTTGTTAGACTTATCGCGGTACAGTGTGAGAAATATTGTTAGAAGATATAACGTAACTGGTTCAGTTAATATTAAGCCACTATATGTGAAAAAAAGTTATATCACAAATGCCAACCGAAGAGCATTAAAAAGATTAATCGTGAAAAACAGGCGTGCCAATTATTTACAATTAAGTGCTCTGTGGAGTGACGCTGTTGGAAGGAGAATTTCGAGGTCCACAACTCATAGAGAGGCCCACAAACTGGGATTTAGCACTTGCAAGGTAAGTTTTCATATAAAAAAAAGTGAAGTAAAAACCCTAAAGTTGCACAACTTGTTTATAGGCAAAAGAAAAGCCACTATTAACTCCACTGCAAAAGAAAAATCGGCTTAGATGGGCTAAAGAACATAGACAATGGACACCTCAACAATGGTGTGCAATACAATGGAGTGATGAGTTTGTGTTGGTGACAGTCGCAGTAGAGTTATTCGCAAAAAAAATTAAGCATTCCATGTTGACTGTCTGAAGAGAAAAGTGAAATTTGCAGCATCCATTATGGTCTGGGGCAGTATGTCATCAAAAGGAGTAGGAAAACATCATTTTATTGATGGAAATGTGGATACAAACAAATATTTGGCAATTTTAGAAGTATCACTTTTACCAGTGATGGAAGAATGTTTGACATCCGGCCAAGATTTTGTGTTTCAGCAAGATGTTGCAGCGTGCCATACCTCAAAAAAGGCTATAAAGCAGTCCAGATATGTCACCTATTGAAACTTTGTGGCACGAGATGAAAAAGGTTCTACGACAACATCCTGCTCGTACAATCACCGAACTGAGACAAAAGTTTCAAGAAGTATGGGATTGTTTTACACCAAATTTTAACCAAAACTTGGTTAACACTATGCCCCAAAGAATTTCAGCCGTAATAAAAAATAAAGGTGATGTTACCCAATGGTAATCTTTCAATTGTTGCTTTGTTAACTTCGCGCATTTATTCGCACATTGTTTATTTGTTCAGATGTTCTATTAGTTATAGGTCTAAAATAAATTGTTTTAGAAGTAAATAGTTTCGTCATGTTTAGTTTATAAAGGCATGATTTGGTACAAATCTTGAAGTGGGCCAACTGAAGTGGGAAGGGGCTCGTATGATAAAAAAACTGTATTCGCACTGAAGGTGAAGTCACGTCACAGTGCATATAGAGATAAAATAAAAACTACAATTTTACGAACTGGCATAACTTAGATAAGTCATGTGCTGTAAATGATCTGTGTATATTATAATTTCACAAAATTGGCGTAGCTTGAGTTAAGATCCCTCGTACAATTTAATTTCCTATTGAAATGAGATGAGCCTAGTATTATTTTTCTATAACTGTGAAGGTATTAGAAACTGTCTTATGACACTTCGTGTTATTGGCGACGACATAGTACAGCAGTCGAGCTGTTTACTTAGTTCGTATGATGTTGATGACGTAACCGCCAAAAACCGCGAAAACACCTTCACAACTGTATTCAAATCGTTTCAGGTGGTAACACATGGTGACCTATGGCCAAACAATGTCCTTTACAATCGAAACGATGAGGGAAAGATCGCCTTTCTGGACTTCCACGCCTGCAGACTGTCATCTCCCGTTCATGACCTACAACTACTGCTTTTGGTAGGACTGGATACTTCTACCAGAAGACGTCATGGTTCTGATCTCATATTGAGCTACCACAGAGCGCTGTGCCGACACCTAGAGTTTCTCGGATTAGACCCCATCAGGTAAATGTTGATTAACATTAAAACTCATTCTTCACTATCATCAAGGATTTTATGAAAATTCTCGACAATTCATCCAAAGTTTTCAGGAGTTGGCGTAGATCATTTAATGTACGTGCAAACTGTAAGTTGTTTTTTTAATAATCGGAGACTTGTTTTTAATTTTAAAGTCTTGTTACTATTGGAACTACTCGTATATTGATTATTATTTTTACGATCTAATATCTAATCCATTACTATCACAATTTCTAGAATTTTATTATAAACTCAAATAGCTTCACAACGATTGCAGATATGTATAAACTTTATTATACAAAAGATGCTAAAAATTTCATGGAGAATCTAAAAATTTAACAAACATTTGAGTTTCCATTTAAAAATCTGAAGTGTAACACAATATCTTATTTTTGGATCACCCTGTACTATACGGCCATAGATGAAAATACGTCACCCTATAAACCAAAATTGACGTGTCCGAGCATTTTTCCCAAAACATACCAGGTGAGTCACAAATGGGGGGTCTGCGACCTGTTTTTTAGGCCACCCTGTATAGCCAGACTACTTATAAAATTTTAAAGTTGAATTCAAATTTTATCCCAGTGGTTCGTTTGCTACTGTAACTTCGGAATCCCGTGCAAATCTCGGCACAGCTGCCATACATTTTTATTATTTGTGATGAGTCATCAAACATAGATCAAGCATGACTAAAGAGGGTTTCTTGATAAATAACAACAAGCGATGTTGTGACTAAAAAATCAATAATTGAAGCTACGAGTACTCTATCCCACTGCGATAGGCACAGCTGTCGCTCCAACCTGTAAATACTTGAAACGTTTTTACAAATTCTTACTGAAGTTACCTGTGGTGTCAAAGAACCCTGTCGTTCTAAAACGGCAAGGGCCTAATACAACTTTGATCAAAAAAAGATAATCTATTTTTTTCATGTACGTAAAATAAATAAATGATTTGACTACAAACGGCCCTTGAAGAAATTTCCTCTTGGCCAGAGTAAAGGTTGGTTCGAGGTCGGTTTTAGCTGAAATTACGATGTTTATCGATTGCTTGTGGATTTTTGGGGGGTCGCTGAGTCCGAATCTGAGGATAGTTTGTCCATATCAGGTCATTTAATGGGCGTATCGAAGTCATTTCAAGGTTAAATGGGAAAACGGAAACTTAAGTCTGCCACATCTTCTCTAAATGACCTTAAAAACACCTCGAAACGCTCTTCAAATGACCATATACGTACAAACTGACTTGGGGGGCTCAGCAACCCAAAAACCGACGTGCTGGTCTAGTAGACCTAATTCCCAGGCAGTTTTTTCGTTTGTCCTTGGAATGACCTCGAAACGCCCTTCAAATGAACTGTTATGAACAAATTGACCTCAGATTCGGATTCAGCTACACCAAAAACCTATATACAGGTCCAGCAGATTTGATTTCCCGGCATTTTCTGAATATGACCTTGATATGAGCTCGAAATGGTCTTCAAATGACCAGATACGGTCAAACTGACTGAGACCCAAAAACCGACGTACTGGTCTAGTAGACCTAATTTCCAGGCATTTTTTCCGTTTGACTTTGGAATGACCTTGTAATGACTTCGAAACGCCCTTCAAATCACCTGTTATGGACAAATTGACCTCAGATTCGGACTCGGCGATCCCAAAAACATATACAGGTCTAGCAGATTTGATTTCCCGGTATATTCTCAATTTGACCTTGAGATGAGCTAGAAATGATCTTCAAATAACCTGATACGGTCAACCTGACTGGGACTCAGCGACCCAAAAACCGACGTACTGGCCTAATAGACCTAATTTCGGGGCTTTTTTTCGTTGACCTTGGAATGACCTTGTAATGACCTCAAAACGCCCCTCAAATCACCTTTTATGGACAAACTGACCTCAGATTCGAACTCAGCGATCTCAAAAACAAGTACAGGTCTAGTAGATTTGATTTCTAGGCATTTTCTCAATTTGACCTTGAGATGAGCTCAAAATGCTCTTCAAAATGACCTGACACAGACAAACTGGCGTCAGACTCTGACTCAGCGACCACAAAAACCTATGGCGGTTAAGTGCCATATACCAGATTACGTGACTGACCTTCACCCAGAGCCGCTTTCCAGAGCCTCATTTGTGTTATTCAGATAACTCGGTACTGCCCAACACTTGACAATACCGCTGCTCTACAGTGTTTTTTACCGGTTTTGTTGTTTTGATTTAAACCCACATTGAACCGATACCAGACAATGGAGGATGGTAAACACCTGATAATTTATGACCAAGACTCACAACATACATTTGAAATGTCCCTGAACAATGAAGATTACAAGAGAGCGCAAGAAGGCAAGTTCACAGCGGCTGGTAATTTACTTCATCTATTACTAGACACTTTGAACATAATTTTGAATGTCTACAGTAAAATATGAATTCGACACATTTACACACCAGCTTTACAATAAAAATTCTAACCTCCGACGTGTTGCGCCATCATTCAAAAAGCAACATCATGCATCAATTGGATAGTCTGAAAATGCTTCTAAAAATAAAGGCAAAACGTGTTTCACATTTTTATTGTTAATTTGCCAGTGTGATCACAAACTTTCAACGTCAAAGCAAAGCTTAAAAAAACATACTGGATTTTTATCGTTGCATTCCTGTGCACATTTGCTGGAGTAGTTTGACAACGTCACACTCCTGGTGCATACAACTCTTTATCCCAAAGCACGGCAAAGCGGCTCTGGCCAAGAGGAGATTTCTATACTAAGTGACATATAAATCCGAACACCCAGTTTAAATGGTTTTATTTTAATAAAATTTTGTATAAGTACTTAATGAAGCATAATAAGTAAATGATAAAAATTTCAAAATGATTGCACTGCTTTAAAGCCCTTTGACCTTTAATAATGTGTGGATGCACCCTGATGTGCTACGCATTCTCCAACGCGCCTAGGCATGCTTCTGATCAGGTGGTCAATGTCCTCCTGTGGTATCTCATTCCAGGCAACCACCAACTCCTCTCGAAGTGCTTCTAGAGTCTGAGGAGGACCTTGCAAGTTGAGCAATCTCCTACCCATCATATCCCACACGTGCTTAATTGGGGATAAGTCGGGAGATCTTGGTGGCCATGGTAACAATGTGACATCATTATGTTGAAATAAGTCTATTGTGACTCTTGCAACATGTGGTCGGGCATTATCTTGTTGGAAAGTTGGATCTGCCAGGGTGTCAAGATAGGGTAAAAGATGGGGTTCTAGAACTTCGTGGATATAACGCTGCGCGTTCAGGTTACCTCTGATGAAGATTAAAGGTGACCTGAAACCATAAGCTATAGCACCCCAAACCATTACTCCAACAGTGTGATGAACATGTCTTTCAACAAAAAACTGTGGATTCCTCCTTTCACCACGTCGCCTTCTAACCCTGGCACGACCATCGTGCATGCCTAAACAAAATCGAGACTTGTCACTAAAGACAATACTGTTCCATTCCTGATCCCAGAGTGACCGTTGTTTGCACCACTTAGGGCGATTACGTCGGTGTTCTCGAGTTAAAGGGAGGACCCAGTGTGGCCGGTATGAAAACAAGCCAAAACTTCTCATTCGTCGGTAAACACTTCGCATGCCAATAGGTCTTCTGTGTTCTGCAAACCATTAATTTGCAATGGACCTGGTAGTGGAGAAACGGTCTCTTAAGGCCAATAATCTTGGGCGGCGATCTTCACGGTCTGTTGTTCTACGGCGGCGTCCAGTGCCCCTTGCTCTTTGCGTACGGCCTTCTCGAAGCCATGCCTGACAACACCTAACCACAGTGTCTACACTTCTTTGCACTCTAACTGCAATTGCCCGAAAAGAAAGTCCAGCTTCCCGAAGTCCCACTATACGGCCCCTATCAAACTCACTAATTTGACGAAATCGTACAGGTCTCCGTACTCTAGGCATCGTAACCGATCGTAAAGGATGTCAAAAACCAAAATCCGCCAACGTTGATTCTTTACTGCGGCTGAAATATTCATTTTTAGAGCGTTAGTGAATTAAAAAAAAGCAGTATAAAAACCGGAATGTCCAACTGATAAGGCTGAAAATTTTTTCACTTGTTATTTACAGTAAGATAAATACATTCACCAACTTTTATTAAAATAAAACCATTTAAACTGGGTGTTCGGGTGTCACAGTATATTATACAGGGCGATTCACACGTCGTGACCAAAAATGAAATATCATACACAGATTTTGATGCAACATTGTTTTTGCTGGTGTGATGTATATTGACCTAAGTATTGTCCTCATTCAAAAGTCTTTACTTAAAATTAAAAAATAGTACGCAATTGTTTTTTTTCATTTTTACGAAAACAATGCACTCTAGGAAAAAACACAAGAGTATTTATTTGTAGCAAATTGAAGGAAAAATTCGAAAAATTGCGCGTTTTGAAAAAGAAACAGTTGCGTACTATTTTTATTTGGAAAAATAATGCCACTAATTCCTTGTATCTTCGCCACTGGTACACGTTAATTTTAAGTAAAAACTTTTGAATGTAGACAATACTTAGGTAAATTCAAATACCAAATTTTAGTTCATTCCAGTTGACGATTTTGAAGATATTAAAAAAAATGTTTTTTTATTTTTAAACTTATATCTTTATAATGAAGCCCTCCAAGGAAAAAATGTTACATAAACGTCCCCCCTTGAAATGCGGTCCTGTGTATGATGTTTCATTTTTGGTCACGACTTTGGAATCACCATGTATACATGAAAAAAATTGTTCCTTCGTTAATCAAAATTGTGTTGAGTCGGGGCACTCTCTTTCCGACTTGGCGAATTTTATTTTTGAAGTTCAACTTTGAAGTTTCCATACTACGCAAATCGCCCTTGTGAAATTTCTTGCCCGATGTTGAACTTTAAAATTTAAACAAAAAAAAGTCTCTGAGCAACTCGATGGCCTAATTGTCAAGAACTCGGACTTAAACTTCCCATGATAATTTTTTAGCTAAAACATTTTTTTTTTGCAGGACTTTTCCATATTCAGCCTTAGAACGCCAACTAGCCGACCAATCCCGTTTCGCCATGGGCGTAGCCTTAGCAGGGTTGCCACTTTTCCTAGCAGAAGAAGCAACTACTAAAGCGGCAGCAGCCAAGGCCCGGAATGTAGAAGAACTGTTCAAAGTACTCAGAGATAACAAATCCACAAGGTGCAAGTCGAAAATGCTCGAAATACTTGTCGATATGGTCGATCAGGAATATTTGTGAAATAATTTTATACTTTTTTACATACGTCGCGAATATAGTTTTTTACACATCTATTATGTTGTTTAATTCATTGCAATAAGTGTTCAAAATGTTGCCTGTTATTGGCCACACAATGATATAGGCGATATGACGGACATTATCAAAAACATGTGGGATATCATGGCAGCATTCTAATTTCCTTTAAGAAACAATTGCCCAGTCACTTTGTTTTAAGAAATGCCTACCCATACATTAATTTATCGGGGGATACTGGGTATGTCCTTCTACAAAAGCAAGAGAATTTTCATTGCTCCAATAACTGCAGTTATGCTTATTAACAATTCCATTTAGATAAATTGTGCATTCATCACTGAAGCAGATATTCTTTACCATTCATGTATTATCACACAACAAGGTATCCCTTCTTATGTGAATGTGCCGCCTTTGAGTAAATCCTAAAATCGCCTATTGGGCTTTCCCTTACTATACCTATGCCATAGATGCGGTCCGATAAGTTCTTAACCTACAAAAGAAAAACGAAAATTTTGGAAAAATGACGTTTTATTTCTCAATGTAATCTTTTAGCTAGATACACTTGAATCAGCGATGCTCCCAACTTTTTAACCCGTCTGAAACATACATTTTCTGGAGGACTGCAAAGTAGTGAGTACTTATCGCACCACCCTCGTAGATAATATTTTACATTTTCAACGATTCAAAAGCTAATGCCTCAGTAAAAGAAATAAGATAAACATACAAAAGCTCCAAGCAGATTTATTGTTTCCTTATGAAATGTTGATGATGCTCATGTAAGTTTATTTAGTAAAAACTTTTGAAACTTGCTCGCAATCTTACAATGTAAACACATTTCGCTAGCGCTGAGAACTCTCAAAACTAATATCTCCATCGTCGCTCTATTTATTGTGTACATTTGTCCTACCATTGTGGTTCAAATACCCCTCGGACGTACATTATGTAGATTATTGGTGTATAAAGCTACTATCTCGTCCTTGACCCCGACGCGAACCTAACCATTAACCAGCCACTGCACACTTATTCAAGCTATCTCGTATCTAAACACTAAACCCATCGACTTTCAAGATAGACCGGCTGTAAACACAAGCGTTACGCGTGGAACACCATGCATTCTACTACCTGAAGATAGATTTCTACCGCCATCTATGAGGCAGTAGCAGAACGCAATAAGGAATTTAGAAATCTACTTTGGTTCAGCTAGTGCCTCATAGATGGCGCGAGGAGCTTCAATCCTGTTTTGGCGCCTCTCTAATGCATGTTTCATGTGTTATCATTCATCGCTGCAGTCATTTGTTAACAAAACTCAACTCGCCTATCAAAATCATATTCGGTTAACTCTTGCAATATTTTCATTTTGAATGGATGACATTTATGGAGTTTAGTAACTGTGTGTGTAGAGCCTAATGAAATACCAGTCGCAGCAACAATTTTATGTAATGAAGTATTAGGATTTATGCCAAAATGACCCAAAACTTGAGCCGCTTTATCCAAAACTCTCCGATGATCACGTAGATTTAGTAACAATGTCCTAAACGTACCTATGTGAAGTTTGCCGAGCACATTGATTTTGGCCACCATAAATTAGAATCATTTCCACTCTTCCGGCTATTGTGTAATTCTGAATCAATAAATTAATTTTCTCTATCCCAAGATTGTCACAAAGGTAACTAACAGCAAATTAAATTCTTTCTTTCCCTCAGCAACAAACAGGTATAACAATAAATACAGTTCGCCCAGGATATCTGTGTTGATGAAAAGCATGCGGAAAAAAATTGGGTTGTTATTTGACTGTTTCCAATCTCAGGCTGTTTCGTTTTACCTTGCCGAGACTCATCAGTTCAATATTTCTCGCTCTAGTGCCATTTGATTGACAAATATTAAAAAATGTACGACACAATTACTAAAGGAGCAGGTAAGGAGTCATTTTGTTGTCATCAAAACTTATCCCTTAATAAAGTTGCGTGTGTGCAGGAATGTTAGGACTTAGGACTACGTTAGAAATAACAAAACTACTCTGCGATTCAACTTCTTCCCCAAATTGCAAAATTTGGGACGGTCTATAGTGTATTTACATCCAAGATAGAATGGATGCATGATTGCCAAAAGCAAGGATGGCGTACAGGGCCACATTCAGGGCTACCTCCGAATGATGGACTGCCACCAACGTGTTGTAAAACAAAGATGACAGTATTTAACGAAATTATCTAATATAGTGAAGTAGTTATAGTTAAGGATGTCGCAAAATCAAATTTTTATTCTTGTTGCTCACTACGCACAATGAATCCGTAGTCAACGAGGGGTAGAGATGACACTTCCGTACATGGAATAAATATAAGGCTGTTCAATCAATTGAAAATAGATTTTGAATGTGCACTTCGGACTTGCATTGTCTGTAGTTTATCTGTAAGTTAATATTTCACTATAACTAGGATTCCCATAATATGTATTCTGTGACAAAACAAAAACGCGAAACTTACTCAGACTCACTTTAAGAGCTATCGTCATTAATTTTTATGATGATGGATTCAAAATTTCTCTCAATTATGTTGTCCAGCTCCCACGTTGCTACCTCCACTTTCTCCTGAACATGCTGCACACATTTTTGCCATCTTTCGGGTGTGACCCTCTGTATAGCAATTCTGAACAGCTCTTGCATGTCAGAAAATTTAAATGTTGTATTGTGTGCAGCAAAAAAATTCTTAACATCTGCCCATATGAGCTCAATGGCATTGAGCTCACAGTGGTAAGGCGGCAAACGGAGTACTGTTTTGTGGTGTGCTTTGGCCATTTCATCTATGACATATATTTATCATGGCTTGGTCTGTGTTGTTTCACAATATCTAATAGTTATAATTTCAGTAAGGAAGAGTCGAAAGTTATATTTTTGGAACGGAGCCAGCTCTGAGTGTCTCATTTCCTAGAAGCTGAAGTTGGGATTTTTCCTATTTTGCGAGAATGATAGGGAGCATTATCCAAAACAACCACAGAATTGTCTTCGAGACGTGGTAAAATGCCTGAAAACCACTTTTCGAATGCTTCCCCTTTCATCTCTTCATGGTAGTCAGTGGTTTTTTTTACTCAAAAGACCATAAGCCATCATCCACGAAGCCATCTACACCCCAATGTGGCACATAATGAGCCTTTTTCCTTTGCCTAGAAAGATAAAATCCGCTAAAGTACACATGCACGTCTTGTAGGTACGAAGATAGACAGATATTGTGCGCAAAAATTGATACCGTGAACCACTTCGATCTATTTACCTGCTGGATTTTTCAATCCGGTCGACACATACCTTCGGAGTAGTGTGCCCAGCCTTAATCCAGGTTTCGTCCAGGTAATAGATCTTCCTGTGCTGATCCCTGAATGATTTAATTTTAGTCAGGTACTCTCTCCTCCACAGAACAATTTCTTCTCTATCCATAAGTAAGCTGTTACGACCTCGTTTCATCCATTCGAAATTAAGATGCTTTATGAATAGTCGAACGTTTGAAATTTGGAAACATAGCATCCTCGTTAACCTCCCGTAGTACTTTATCAACTGTCGGTATTTCGTTTCTGAAGAAGAACTCGTGCACTTTCCTCCGAATCGCATGCTTGTCAGCGTCATCCAACGATCTTATGACACTTTTGCGATTTTTACCCGTCAATGGCTTGGAAAAGGCAAGCTTTTTCTTATGTTCGTTCAAAACATTGTACACTGTCGCTTGGCATACCCCAATTTTATCTCCCACTTTCAGAGCTATTTTCGGGTTAGCTGATGTTTCGTCTTCCTTCCGCTCTATCTTGAATGTATTAAATAAGACGTCTTTCATGTCTACGCTAAGATGTCTTTTTTTTGATCGCTTTCTAGGAAGGCTAAGGGAGTAGCCTACCGCCTCGTCAGCAGTGTCTGTACTGGACATGTTCAGGAATGGTTCAAAACAAATAATAACGAGGAATAACAATAACAAACAGAAACTTAACAAATTACTCAAATACACTTAACAACAACAACAGCAACAACCAAGCAAGGTGAATACGAAAACACGAGCACGCAGTGATACCCGCGACGGTGGGTGGCCTGAATGCAACTCTGTCTGCCCTGCCCCTGCCCCGCGCATTATTCCGCCAGGCAACCGCTTGAAATTTAATGGCGAATTGACCAATAAGAGGCGTTGTTTCCACCTGTTACCGAGAGATCACGCGATAACTGTTATTATTTACATCTCATCTTGAATTTGGATTCAGTTTAGGTATACTACTGCGCCCATTTCGATGTTTCTATAAACAGCCTCTGTGCACGATAAACCGGGATATGCGGCGCGGGATGAAAACGTCCGTCAAAACGATCTGAATACACTCGCGAGGCATCAGCAACATCTTGAAGACGCCCACCGCAAACTAATATCAAATCTTTATTGCTACAGGAATGTCACAAATTCTTTTTGATTACGATGCATAAGCAAACAGCTTAGCTTGCGTGCACGGTGTCCGGCATCTGGATTTGATATGACAACGTTTTTGAAACCTAATATCTAAAATGTCTCTAGACATTTGTTTATGTGTTACTGGTCTTACAAGAAATATACATTGTGTAAAGTAAAAACTCAACGTTACTAGTGTATAGTCATAAAAAAAGTGATCTACTCACCAGAGGAAGACACTTCATCATCACCGCAGTCCGACACGTTGTCCGCATTTGGATCGTCATATGGATACCATTTACTAGAGTTCACAATATTCAGGATACAGCTTTTCAGTTTCCTACGAGCGTTGAATTTCTTTAGTTCTTCTACAGTGTCGGTCAGGTGTATCCTTAGACCCTTGTCTCGATCCTGTCGAAGAAATAAGAAAAATCAGTACGTACACTCGCCTACAATAAATAAGCTGTAAATGCGTACAAAAGTAATTCTTAAAAATATTGATATGTTTCCTAACAATTCGTTTTTCTTTTGTATGCTAAGTACTTATCGGACCGCCCTCGTATTATGTTAATTCCTACCACTCAAGCATTTGATGGAGTAGAATGGTTTTACGCTATCACACACCATAAGCAGGCAACACTGGGTATAATGTTAAAGATATCATACTGTATAATATCACCAGACTGCAAACTTACCCTTAACCACCTATGATTGAGCACCTCTTGTATCGTTATCCTCTGTTTAGGGTCTAAGTTAAGCATTTGTTGGACTAGGTCTTTAGCGCTGTCGCTGACTAGTTGCCACTGAGCAGCGGTGTCCAGCTGAAACAAAAGAAAGTAGCCTTTAAACATCATAATACAAACACGTTAAAGCTTCTTAACAATCGTTTATAAGGCGAATATATAAATTTACTATATTATACTAAGTGACATATAAATCCGAACACCCAGTTTAAATGGTTTTATTTTAATAAAATTTTGTATAAGTACTTAATGAAGCATAATAAGTAAATGATAAAAATTTCAAAATGGTTGCACTGCTTTAAAGCCCTTTGACCTTTAATAATGTGTGGATGCACCCTGATGTGCTAAGCATTCTCCAACGCGCCTAGGCATGCTTCTGATCAGGTGGTCAATGTCCTCCTGTGGTATCTCATTCCAGGCAACCACCAACTCCTCTCGAAGTGCTTCTAGAGTCTGAGGAGGACGTTGCAAATTGAGCAATCTCCTACCCATCATATCCCACACGTGCTCAATTGGGGATAAGTCGGGAGGTCTTGGTGGCCATGGTAACAATGTGACATCATTATGTTGAAAGAAGTCTATTGTGACTCTTGCAACATGTGGTCGGGCATTATCTTGTTGGAAAGTTGGATCTGCCAGGGTGTCAAGATATAACGCTGCGCGTTCATGTTACCTCTGATGAAGATTAAAGGTGACCTGCAACCATAAGCTATAGCACCCCAAACCATAACTCCAGCAGTGTGATGAACATGTCTTTCAACAAAAAACTGTGGATTCCTCCTTTCACCACGTCGCCTTCTAACCCTGGCACGACCATCGTGCATGCCTAAACAAAATCGAGACTCGTCACTAAAGACAATACTGTTCCATTCCTGATCCCAGAGTGACCGTTGTCTGCACCACTCAAGGCAATTACGTCGGTGTTCTCGAGTTAAAGGGAGGACCCAGTGTGGCCGGTATGAAAACAAGCCAAAACTTCTCATTCGTCGGTAAACACTTCGCATGCCAATAGGTCTTCCGTGTTCTGCAAACCATTCATTTGCAATGGACCTGGTAGTGGAGAAACGGTCCCTTAAGGTCAATAATCTTAGGCGGCGATCTTCACGGTCTGTTGTTCTACGGCGGCGTCCAGTGTCCCTTGCTCTTTGCGTACGGCCTTCTCGAAGCCATGCCTGCAACACCTAACCACAGTGTCTACACTTCTTTGCACTCTAACTGCAATTGCCTGAAAAGAAAGTCCAGCTTCCCGAAGTCCCACTATACGGCCCCTATCAAACTCACTAAGTTGACGAAATCGTACAGGTCTCCGTACTCTAGGCATCGTAACCGATCGTAAAGGATGTCAAGAACCAAAATCCGCCAACGTTGATTCTTTACTGCGGCTGAAATATTCATTTTTAGAGCGTTAGTGAATTAAAAAAAGCAGTATAAAAACCGGAATGTCCAACTGATAAGGCTGAAAATTTTTTCATATGTTGTATATCCACGAAGTTCTAGAACCCCATCTTTTACCCTATCTTGACACCCTGGCAGATCCAACTTTCCAACAAGATAATGCCCGACCACATGTTGCAAGAGTCACAATAGACTTCTTTCAACAAAATGATGTCACATTGTTACCATGGCCACCAAGATCTCCCGACTTATCCCCAATTGAGCACGTGTGGGATATGATGGGTAGGAGATTGCTCAATTTGCAACGTCCTCCTCAGACTCTAGAAGCACTTCGAGAGGAGTTGGTGGTTGCCTGGAATGAGATACCACAGGAGGACATTGACCACCTGATCAGAAGCATGCCTAGGCGCGTTGGAGAATGCGTAGCACATCAGGGTGCATCCACACATTATTAAAGGTCAAAGGGCTTTAAAGCAGTGCAATCATTTTGAAATTTTTATCATTTACTTATTATGCTTCATTAAGTACTTATACAAAATTTTATTGAAATAAAACCATTTAAACTGGGTGTTCGAATTTATATGTCACTTAGTATATGAAGTATCATACATTTTTGGGATCATAGTTAAACACTCTATTTATCTGTGCAAAAATCCAATATGGCGTCCATAAGAAAACATTGGGTTGATGTTGGACAAGTTACAAAACGTCACATTGCATTTCTAATTATGCCTTTTTGTAGAGAAGAAAAGGTGGCAATGTAAGTGTGCGATTTATTTTAAAATCCCTCTAGAAATAGTAAAAAAAAGATTAAAATGATTTTGAGAATACTCTTTTTTTTCGTCTCTCTCCGGAAGTACTTTGAATTTCGAAAGCGGGGCGGCATTTTGTTGATTTCCTAAATACGCAACTTTGCCCCCATTTAAGCGACCTTGAATTTGAAACACCCTGTATGTTAATCAAATTTTATCACCCGAAATTTCAGCTTGCTAACTTGACTCGTTCCAAAAAAAAATACGGTGGACCTTTTGAAAACGCCTTCTTCGCTTCAACAATCACCGATCATCCAGTGCGCGTAAATAAAATCTATTGCAGTTTTCAACGCCGATAAAAAGAATTTAAACTATCGGGAATTCCTAAACGATATTATTACCGACGTATGTCAACACGTTCAATTAAATAGATTAAAACTTGCGGAAAATCCGGAAACGATTACAGACTGTGGACGAGCTTATTTTTATGAAATCACGATTGCTTATCGTATTATAGTCCAGTCTGAGCATGTTCAAGGTCTTTGAAAATAGAATGATCCATTAAATGATGCGATCTAAAAAAAAGAACAAAATGATGAATCCAAGGGACTTTACGTTCTGATAACCAAAAAAACAGAAGCAATTCCTTCGCTTCTATATTTTTTGCAACTCCGAAGCGCTGTCTAAAAATGCTATTCGAACTTTCCTCATTATAATTTCTGTATTACATTTGAATACAAAGGAATATCTACTTGGGCATACTCACGAAAAATCCCGGTTCCGAAAGTCCCCGTAATTCAGTAGCATTCAAATCGGATTGAAGGTCTCAGGCCGAAAAACCCTGTCCTGCTTCTCAACAAAAATGAAAACTCCAATCCTCTTCCGCGTTCTATCGCATATTTTGCGGTAAGTCTCTACCTGGTAGTTTATTAGACTGATTCATGGCCCAAAATACTCTTTCTTATAGTAAATAAAGGAAATGTACGGCGGTTTTTCACATAAGCAAACTAAAGAGAAAAATAATTGTAGAAAATTGGAATAAACATCACAACAGTCTATTTTGACTTGATTTTAACACCAAAACCGTACTATTGAATTTTACGAGTCGGCAAATATGTTTTTTGATACTTAACACGTGTTTTGCTATGTTAGCATCATCAAGGGGATATCAGGACTGTTTCAATCTTCCCATGACATTGCTAAAATATCGAAAACGTTGGGTACGCCAAGAGATCCAACGTCACAGACAAAATTCCGGCATAGCCTTTACGTAAGAAACCTATAAAACGCAAAAAACGTCAGAATTGCAACTGGCTGCCTAGATAGTTCCCAGTGTGCAATTCAGTTCCCCATCATGCTTTGTTGGTTGCAGAATGCCTAGATAGTCTGTAGAGTATACACAGGTACTCTGAGAAGATGTGTGGTTGAGTAGCGGAGAGATATTTGCTATGTGAAAAAATATTAAATATATATATATATATATATATATATATATATACGTATAATATTATATATTTATATATATATATATAGTCCGGAATGAATGAATCTTGAATTTTAGAGGCATCCCGGCCACCATAAGGAGCCAGTGCATAGGCCGCTTAAGCGGGCCCTTATGCACCTCTACAATACTTAAATCACAAGTCTCGCCCTTTTAGCGAAGTTGAGAATCGCCTTGAGTCCAAGCTCCTTTACGTCCTGAGGGTCCAAAGTAATGGACCCCAGTATATATATATACAGGGTGGCCAAACACGTGACGTCATAAAAAAAAAATTAGATTCTCCACATCGAGAGGAACCCAAATCATCCCCATATATATGGTCCGATTTTGTTTAGTTTAGGAGTTATGATTTTTTTTCGGATTTTTCGAGAATTTTTGAGTTCTGTGTTTATTTTTACCATAACTTCGTTAATAATTGTGACAAATGCTTGCTTTTTTCACGATTATGTAGCTAAGACCTAAGGCTTAACTATCATATAATCATTCAAGTCATGTAACTAATACTACTTTTTAATTTTTTTCAAAATCTTCGAACATAACAAAAAAGTAAAAAAGTGCAACAACTTTGAACGTTTATAAAAAATTGAAAAAACATGTTCTTACTATTCGTAAGTATCTTAAAAACTTCCTTACGGTATCAGCTATTTACCGTAAAAATTTCATCAACCTAGCTTTACTACATGCTACCGTAATTGTGGCTCAAATAGAACCGAACCCAAAATTGGATAACCCTCTGCTCAATAGAAATTGTTAGTTTCGGAAAAAAAATTTGCAAAAACCACAAAAACACGTTTGATTTTTACTGAACAGCAGATTATTATTCATTTATGTTATTTACAAGAGGTTTTCAAAATGTCTGCCTCTAACAGAAATGCACAGTGTACACCTACGTATGAAATTTTGTTTTAAATCTCCAAATGCTTGTGTGTTGTTTCTCAACACATGTGTCGCTTCTTGAATTTTGTTCCTCAATGAATTTTCATTTGCACATTCTTGGGCGAATGTTATGTCTTTAAAATATCCCCAAACAAAAAAATCAATGGGGTTGAGGTCAGGGGAGCGTGGAGGCCATCGTATCGGTCCGTTTCGTCCGATCCATCTATCTGGGAACCTTTCGTTTAAGTAGTTTCGCACGATCGTTGCGTTGTGGCATGGTGCACCATCATTCTGGAACACCATGTTCCGTCTGAGGACACGTCATCACCACCGACCAGCCACGTCATCTACGGCACAGGACACGTCAGCCGTTCTGGTATAAATAACCCCGAAAGGCTAAGTCACCTGCAGACGAAATAAGAGGCCATATCAGCCGAAACCTCGTGCTCTAAAAAATTGGATATTCCGGGACTCTGCTTTGCATACTGATTTGGACTTTGTTTGCTAAGAAGTTTGTGATGCATTATACGTTGCGTGAATATGCAGAAATGCAT